ATAATTTTAACTTCTCACAAACCTGTAAAACCTCGATTCCAAAGATTTTGGCTCCTATCGAAAAAGCTTTCAAGTTCAGTAAAGTTTCAGATTCACAGAAAGAAATGATTAGGCATCTTATCGCTCATAATGTGAAATTCAATAATAAACCTTTGAAACCAAATCTAACTGCGAGAGAAAGAGCTACATTGCGTGAAATTCATTCTAACCCGGATATTATTATTTCAATGGCCGACAAAGGTGGCTAGATAGTCGTCATGGATAGGAACACTTACATCGATGGTGTCACTAAACTCTTAAACGAAGGACCATATAATCCGATCCCTAAAGATCCTTCACCTTCGGACTTGTCAAAAATAAAAACTGCGATCAGATCTTTGCAAATCATTTCAGGCAACTTAAAACATTCACTTATCCCATCTGTTGCAAATCGTGCCAGATTATATGCTCTTCCCAAAATTCATAAAAGTGGTATTCTTTTCCACCCTATTGTATCAAATTTAAGGTACTGCCTCGTATCCATTAGCTAAATATTTAGTTTCTAGATTTTCAACTCTATTAGACAATAACATTTACACCATAAAAAATTCAATAGAGTTTGTAAAAAAAGTTAAAAACATTTCTCCTAGTAATTTACTCATGGTTTCTTTTGATGTAAAATCATTATTCACCAATGTCCCAGTGGAGGGTGCATTAAGATGTCTAGAAACCAGACTTCGCGAATTTCATTTCTCTTGCATCGAAATTGATGAGCTAATTTCTCTCACTCAACTCTGTTTGAAACAAACACATTTTGTTTTCCAAAATAAATATTACAAGCAAACTGAGGGATTAGCCATGGGAAGCCCCCTCAGTCCCATCCTGGCTGATATCTACATGCATTATTATGAATCAAAATTGTTTGAAACTTTAAACTTCCCGGCATGGTTCCGCTACGTAGACGATACTTTTACTCTGTTTTGAAGGTAATAATGATGATTTAAATAAAGTTCTCTCAACAATGAATTCTATTGATCCTGCTATTCAGTTCACTTTTGAACTTGAGACTTGCAATTCTCTTCCGTTTCTCGACATTCTGGTCACACGTAACACATCCAACTTCAGTACTACGGTTTACCGTAAACCTTCATCGGTTTGCCTTCCACCACACTTTAAATCATGTCATCCGACTAAACAAAAGTTAGCTTCATTTTATTCCTATGTTTTCCGTGCTCTTCAAGTTTGCTCCTCCAAACTAGCCCTTGATGAAGAACTAAATTATTTAAAAGCAATAGCTATTGACAGGGGCTTTCCACCCAACATTATTAATCAAGCAGTTAAAAAATTCTCATCTCAACACACTAAAAGGCACACTCTTGTTTTAGGAGATTATAAAAATTCTGTTGTCATTCCCTTCTTTCCATCAATTAGCTATAAAGTTGCACATATTTTGCAGAAATTTAACTTTCGGGTTGTTTATTCTCCCATCAATAAAATTCCGACTTCCATACTCAAGGACCCCATTCCGGATATGAATTCCTGGGGTATTTATAGGATTCCTTGCCAGTGTGGTTTAATTTACATTGGCCAAACTAAGAGAGCCTTAAAATTTCGCGTCAAGGAACATGAGGCATATGTTAGAAAAAAGGAAACACGGAAGTCTCCTGTTGCTCAACATTTTTGGTCCAAAACCACACTTTCAGTTCAAAAAACATCTTCCATTGGAGAACTGGATTTTCTAGAGGCATTTCACATTCATAAAAATCTTTCTGTTCTAGTTAATGATCCTAATTCCAATCCAAATTTGCCTTCGGCCTTTAAAGAAATTATGTTTATTCTGGTTTCACCAACAGATGGCGCCACTTGCTTATTCTTGTCTAGGCTTTCTTATCTTATCTAATCTATTTTCCTAACTATATTCCTTTCAAAATGTCATTCTGATTCTTTTGACATTTCTTGCTTTTTTTTTTTTTTTTTTTTTTTTTTTTTAATTATTATTATTATTATTATTATTGCCTATAAAAGCATGGTCTTTGTCTCTTATGACTTTTTTGCTTTACTTTTACCATATTTAATTTCTCATTCATGCATTGATTTCCAAATGTAAAGCATGCAGTGGTAAAAATGTACAAAATGGAAAAGTAAAGCTTTGATTCACACCAAATTGTACATAACTGTAGCAAATATGTTTATGTATAAAAGAAAAGTATATTGTATAAAGATGAAAACAATGTTTTATTTTCATAAATTATGTGATGAGATCGCATTTGGGTCATTAGCAAATAGATGTTTGAAGCTAAAAACAGACAAAAATTAGAATAAGGATAATTAGAATCTGGGCACAGCCTGGCCTGCCTAGTGTGTATGAAGAAACTTTAAGCCAAAAAATGGGCCTGCACCTGAGGAATGTGTTCACCCCTGATCTTCACACTAACTTTACAGAAGTTGTGCATGCCTTCTGGTCATCAGCCATTGCAAATGCTATCAATGACCATTCCTCTATACAGGCATTTTTCAACCATCTGAGAGTGACTGAAGGCTGCAAGCTGGCAGGTACAGCACACCCAAGGGCATCCCAAGTATTTACATTGGGACTAAGATTATAGGAAATACTCCATACCAGAAATGCACTCATTCTCTGGATGCTTATTAATCATATTGGCCTGATGGGCATTATCATTCATGAATAGGAAATCAGGATCAGTTGCTGCATGTCAGGTGTAGAACTTCATCCTGATACAGTACGAAGTCCGTAATCCGGAATGCGCGCTTCCGATACGCATGTGCGCATACATCGCTTCTGGTAGTGAAGAAAGGGACAGAGAGAGGTTATTGAAAATGAAAAAATTTCGATTGACAGGTTAGTCGGTATTCACAGGACTTGAACAGTGGAACTTTGTAACTGAATAAGAAATTATGTCTGTTTATAGAATTAAAGAGAAAGTATTAGCACAAAAAACTAAGCAACTTAACAACTTACATTGAAAGAAATGTTTAATAAAGTAAACAAATAAATATTAAGCTTTTTTTTTTGTGTGTGTGTGTGTGTGTGTAAATTTTGATACCCGTTAGATCATAATTGCTCTTTATTTCATAAATTACAGTTTCATATTTTTAATTGTATAATTTCTGCATGCCATCTTACCAGATTTAAATTGATGATCTATAATCCGAAATCTCCGAAGTCCCGACGAGTCCAGATTACGGACTTTGTACCATGCCACACAGCTGTCACAGAACTCCTTAAAGGTAGCTGAGTGTAGTATCCAATTGAAATTCCATTACTTCCAAATGCGTGATGTTCAAACATCTTCTGGGACTGATGCCTCATGCTTTATTTTATCCATATCTTTTATCTTCTGATTCCATGGCAGTAGGATGTTGTGCCAACCTGAGACAGTCCTTTTGAGATGTTGCCACAACACCACCACATTAATCTCGACCCTCTGGATTCGGCAGTGGAATAAAACATTTGGTATTCAGGCAGGAATTTAAAAAATATACTGTTTTTAAATATACAGTACAAAGTCCGAAATCCAGATTCGTCGGGACTTTGGTGATTCTGGATTTGGGATTTCACCGGATATTATATTATCAATTTAAATCTGGTAAGATGACATGCAGAAATTATAGAATTAAAAATATGAAATCGTAATTTATGAAATAAAAAAACAATTACAATATAAAGGGTATCAAAATTTACAAAAAAAATATTTATTTCTTTACTTTATTAAACATTTCTTTCAATTTAAGTTGATTAAGTTGCTTCCACAAAAAATTCAAAAAGTTCCTTTTTTCTTGTGTCATATACAGTTGACTTTCCAATGCCATACTTCTCAGATATGCCTTTATCCATTTTTTGCAGCAATTCCAATTTTTGTTTAATGGACATTTTTTCATTGAAATTTTTGCTATATATACTAACTAGGACACTTTATCCTTCGAAAAAATACATTTTCTCATTTTTACATCTTAAATTTTAATTATTCAAGATTTCAGCCCATAGCCAACGGCATGGACTCTCTGCCGTCATGTGACGAGGCTCTCCAAATGGACTTTGATTCTCTTATGTAAATATTGTATAGCTTATATTTATTAAAGACTCATTAATTGGAACTTTCATCTGAGGAACTATGTTTTTTGCTATTTAAAATTAAATTTAGTATCGTTAATGTATGTAAACTCATCTTGTACTTGAATAGTATGTTGCACCACCCTACAATGTAAAATTTTACAGTGGCAATGTGCCAACTTTCTTTTTATTATTCACATCTTGTCTCTGTGACACCTTTATAGATATATTTACTTCCAGGATGCCATATATGAAGACAACTGGCAAAAACCTGCAAATTCATGCAGGCTAGGCCCAGTATAACAGCAGTGAATGGAATGTTTGAGATGGCCAAGCAGATCCTCAGCTACGAAGCCAAATTATCAATATCACAATTTATGCTTACATGATTGTTTTTCCATAATGAGGTATTTTATTTAGTGCTTAAGTGAAATTAAGAATCGGAATTTTTAAGTGAAAATCTCCACATGGTTTATTATGGAAGGAAAAATCAAATGCACATGCATAAAGCATTAAAAAAAAAGTTCGTGGCTTTGAGGTCCAGATTTTAGATCATTCCGGATAATGGACGTCCGGATTTCCGACTTTGTACTGTATTATGATTTTGCTCTTAAATTTGACATAGCATAATGTAAAGACAAGCAGTGCTTAATAGAAAAGCTAAAAAGGCAGAAAAAATGTGTTAGCAGGAGCAAGTCCAAGAGTGGATTATTAACCTGCAGTGCTCAGTGAGAGCATAAAAAAACTTTAACAAGTCTTCTGGTGCAATATTAAAATCTAAATCCTTTCAGATTTTCGTTTTTTCTTTTCTGGTGTGTATGTGATTTAATCTTGTAGATTTAATATATCTTCGAAAAATTTGATTGTATTTTCTGTATATATGTTTATACTACATAAAATTTAGTGCATTGTGTGTATATATATATATATATGCATGTTTCTTTTCCAGAGAGAAGCAGAAGAGGCCAGATAAGCCACTGTATGTGCCTCGAGCTTTACGAGGACTTCAGACTAAAGCATCATGCAATGAAAACAAGCTTAATCATCTGAATGAATGCACTTCACAAAACAAAGTTTTGAATGGGAAGCTATCAAAAACAAAATCAGTTTCAAAAAGGACTAAAGATGACATGTACAGTGTAACTGTACGTAGTAATCCTGTCCAAAATGATCTTGTATTAAAAACTGAGTTATCTAGTAATGATTTTGAAAGCTTAGATAACCAAAAGAGCTGCACTACAAATAATTATTCAGAAGGTCAGCAAAAGCAGGCAGTTATTTCTTATTCTAGTAGTGCAACTTCTAGTGAACTAGGTAGCTCTAAGGAGTTTGAGTCCAGCAGTAATGTTCTTTTAGAACACAAAGAAGTCATACAAAATGATGTAAATAAAATAAACATTGAACAGAATAACTTTGATAGTTTATCAGGCGATGGAGCAAAAAATTATTCAGAAAGATCCTGTCTTCCTTCAGACAATCAAACATTTGTTCGAATAGAAATGCCTGGAGCATATGATCAAAAATCACATTCTGAGGGATTTTATGCTGAAAATGAAGATTCTTGGGAGACAAAGTTCAGTGACAGTGGTGACTGTTTAAATGCAGAAGTAATAGAGAGCGTGAGTTCTTTAATTATAATAATGTATAGTGTGTGATAATTTGACCACTACCTAAAATTGTAAAATGGAATGTGTATGAAATCATTTTTATATGAAAACTGGTGTATTCTCCCATATCTTAATTTTCATAGTGTAGTACATGACCTGAGCATCATGTTTGAAATTTTTTTATTTAATTATCTTCATCTTTTTCAGTGAAGTTATGGGGTTTTATTTTACTTTAAAGTTAAATAATTTTTATTATTAAATGATTATGTATTTTAAAAGTAATTGCTATAAAGATTTTATTTATGGGTTTATAGTGCCCAACCATATCAGTTACATGTAAATTTTTCATTGTACTAATAGAAATTTAAACTGTCAACTAAAACTTGTTTTAAAAATAGTATGTAGTGTAGCTGTTATAATTTTGTTAGCTCAAGCTCTTCAGATATTTTTATGCAGTGTAATTTTTATTTAAACATTTTTTTAAACTGATCACTGTTGTGAAACATAATATAATATTGTTTTGAAATGTCCACCTGCACAAAGATAGTTTCCCTGCAAGGTGGGTTTAAGGTTGCCGAAAAATGGCTAGAGAAGGCGTGGTTGCCATATTTGGCATGAAATTGTCCATTTGGTGATTTGCCATAGACAGAGAACCTTCTAGAATGATTTCTTACCGGTTTGGCTCAGACTATTCTTGAAGGCAGTCAAAAAGCTGTATAAACCCTACTGGTACATGGAGTAGGGAGTGTATCATAGAGTATTGAATTGATCGTCAGTTTAGTGTTGAGTGTATCACGAGTTAGTACATCGTTGAGGCTATCGACTGCATCGTGAGTTGTAGCGTGGAGAGTCTCGAGAGAGTGTTGAGTTTTGAGAATGATCAAACCAAGTTGGGAGCTGTACTCTAGTGCTTTGCCGTGAAGCTGTCTTCACCATTATAGCCTGATTGTTTCAGCGTGTTTGTTGTAGTTTTTTGATGACTGTAAACGTGTTTTTGGAGCTGTCCTGAGTAATACTGGCTAATAAATTTTGTTTTTATTCTTCATCACGTGTTGTCATCAATCATTCCAAATCTACAAACCTGCACAGAATGCAACAATAGTATGTAAATATCAGTTAGAGCTAGAACTGGCCTAAAGCAGGTTAATGGTATGTTATATATATAATGTATTATTTGAAGAAGTTTTATGTTATAAACATTCAAGCACTAAAAATTAGTGGCAGGCACCATCGGTTTTATGCTATAAACCTTCAAGCACTAAAAAATTAGTGGCACCATTGACCATTCGACTGTAGAAAAAATATGGATAATTTGGTTTTTCTGTATCAAATACTTGTTTACTAGACTGCAACCAATTAAATTTGTTTATTTATTTTACTTTTTTTGCTTATACGGTTTTACATCAACCAAGTTAAAAAATACAGTAGAATTCTGGTACTTCATGACTGCTTAATACGTGAATTTCTGTCACACTTTCTATGTGTAAAACAAACCAAATTTCAGTTTTCATAACTTTCAGCAAATAAATTTAATGGCAATTATATATGGGCATTTATTTTATTTTTGGAGTTAATGCCAAATAATCATTCTTTTGCAGCTACGTGTGGTTACTGGACATTTGGAGATGCATGCAGCCAGATGTAGTTACTCAGAATGGAAAACATATTCAGGAGATATATCTGAAGGTAAAGCTTGTGAGTCAAATATCTTTTATGATAAGATTTTGTCATATTTCAGTCTTGTACAAAAGAGCATGCCTATCTGAAATTTAAGGCAGAATTGATTTGATTGATATTGGCTTTAAAGAAATCTGTGTGTATTTTCACAGAGAGTGGCATAGAGTCATTGTTTTTCAAGGAGCTGTGCTGTAGGCCAGAAATATGCTAATGTCCAAAATTAAGGGTTACAAATACAAAACTTGGTATCTAGAAAAGTAATTAGTTTTGGTGATGAAATTTTGTGCCACTTATAAAGTGCTGTCATAATAGCCTAACTATATAAGTGAAGTAAATGTTTTTCTTCATGTAAATAAATTTCCAAACAGCCAAAACATCCTGTATTTCCAGAATGGTTTGGCTAAAAGAAGTGTGAGCATTCTGCACAGCTGTGTCTCTTAAACTGTGATTTATCATAGCTTGTGGTAACATTTTCTTTTAAAAGGAAGAATTTTAGTGTCATGCAATAACTTTTATTCTAGAGCACCCCAAACATGCTGTGTAGGATTATTATATTGGTTAAAAGCTAATTCTCATAATAATCATTCCTACCACTCATCTGTATAATCAATTATTCTCATAATAATCATTCCTACCACTCATCTGTATAATCAATTATTCTCATAATAATCATTCCTACCACTCATCTGTGTAATCAATTATTCTCATAATAATCATTCCTACCACTTTTCTGTAACTTTACTAGCTGTACCATACAGCAAATGCCTTACGGGGATTTCTCTGCTAGGTGTCTATGTGAAGTTTGCATGGAAACTGTTGTTCCATGATTGGTTTGGCCAGGCCTCCTGATTAATGTACCCATAGTTTGCCATAATCTGGTTGACACCATTCGAGATACTTGTAACCACTAAATGACTTCCACTTGAGACTGACTATCTCCAAACTTTCTGGTTACTCTTTATGCCAATCCATCATCTAAATGATTGCAAGAATTTTGATGGTTATCAACAAGCTCAGCTTGCATTCCAGTTATGCAACAATGCAACACAGTGGTTGCAATCAAACCACCTCCCATTACATATTTACAACTGACAGCTATTATGCACATCTGGGAAAAAAGAATTGCTTAATCTCACAACCGCCAAAGTGTTAACTCAAGTGATACAGTCTTCTGAGCTTTATTGCAAGAAACGCAGTTCTGTAGATGCTTCATTGATTCAGAAAACCAATCACCTTTTATATTCTCTTAAAAAATATAGCTTTTAAGTAACCACTAGATGCTTACATTACATTTACCATTTCTCAAATTGTATACGGCAGCAATTTATAACATATTGGTGGTAGCTGTTTTGAATTATTGTAAGAAATATTGTTGGTAACTTTAATTTTGGACAGCAGAACACATGCTTTAAGTTAAACAAAAATAAGTAACTAACTAAAAATAAGAAGAAAAAAAATCATAGCACAGTCTATCAAGCAAAATAAAGATGAAAAGAATCAAAATTACAAGTTATGTCTTTTAGGAAGAAACTGAATTGTAATTGAAATCATTTACAGGATTTTATGATTGAGGAACGTTTCAGATGGTAATCTAGAGTTGCCAACTAAAGGAGCCCTTTATACAATTTTTTTTTAGAGACTAAAGTTAAAAGGTTGAGTAGGCAAACATTTTTTTTTAATAATGTATGATATAGATATAGTTACTGCTTCTTCTTCATCCTTTGTTTTTCAGAAAGAAATGTTAATGCTGTTTCGGTTTGGATAATATATGTTAAGTCACATTGACAAGGAATATATAGGGATTCCTAGGGATTAAAGTCTGAAATAAACCTTTAAAATGACTGAAAGAATATATTAACTTTTTAACTGTCATGCTCGAAATAATCTCGGGGACAGCACTGGTATTCCAAACTGTCATGCCCGAATATTACTCGGGCTAATTTTTTTTTTTTTTTTTTTTTGTTTGTTTGTTTTTTGAGTGCATAGTATTGTTATACCCGAATATGTATCGTGAGAAGTTTATTTCAGCTTCAATTCAACAGATGGCAGCACTTTACTGAAGGTTTAAAGGATAGAGGTTAAAATTCAAAGAGTATGTTTTTTTTTTTTTTTTTTTTTTTTTTTGATTGAGAGGCAAACATTTCATTTTCATTTTTGGAATTAAAAAAAATTGACAATTTATGTACCCAAATCATTAAAATAACTTGACAGTTAAAATGTTAATAACAGAGAAATATGTCTTGGAAGAAAGAGGAAATTTGGTGATAACATGATCTGAAAAAAAGCTTATTGAATGCTTTATTTGTACCAGAAAGTGATAACCTTTTCTCAGTAACAGCTGCTTTCAAATTTTTGGATTTCTGAGCTATAGAAGATTGTGGAGAACAGAGCTAATGAGCCAAAAAATACATAAAATTAAGAAAGAAGCCATTTTTTTAATGTTTCTAGTCAGGTAGAATGTCAAAGGAAAAAAAGTAATATTGAGATTCAGTTTGAAATGTGAACTGAATTGGTTGGATCAGGCGCATTTGTAATGAATAAGATAATTGTTTAAGTCATTTTGGTGTTGAATTGAATTAAGGGATAATCAACATAACCCTTAAAAAAAAAAAAAAAACATAGTCTTAAAACACTGGCATGTAAGTATGAAGACTTCCATAGCTAGTCATTCAATTTGGGTATGGTGATTGTTTTAAAATAATGAATGCATTATGGTTTAGAGAAAAGTTGAGTAAGAGATATTAATTTTGCTTTTCAGTGTAATTATTTGGTGGTGTTTTTTCTTTGGTATTTCGTTTTCCATGTCGCAGTTTTCAGAACTTATAAATTGAATTTTATATTTTGAGAGACAACGGAGATTTCAGGAGTCTGTGGATTTTTGGTATTTGACTATATTTTAAAACGAATCATGTGCAAAAATTTTCTCGACAACCTAATTTATAGTAAAATATCTTTTTAAGTTTTTGTCATTTAAAGAACCAGATGGTTTGTTAACGTTTACATTTCAGCAAATTTCTCACATTAAAAGCTTTTGAGTAATATATAAAGTATTTTTGTGTATAATTTTATATAATATATCGTTATGCATGACATAAAACTTAATTTATTAGTATATTTATCTTTATATTTATTAATTTTATGAGAGTAATGTGGCAACAAGATTCCAAAGTAATTGTGTTTTCAATTAAGATTTCATAAAAATGTGAATTTCCTGCTTGCATGAGTGATTTCTCTGAACTAGCTGATTAAAATTTCGAGAAATTTTCATGAGTCGTGTAAATATTATATCTGCATAATTTTAGAAATGATATTAATAACTTCTGTTATATAAGAGATTTAGCCCATAATTATGAAATGTGATAAATTTGTTCTGTTTGATACTGACATAATTTTCTAACTGTGTAATTTCTTAATATCCCATATTTGTAAGCAATTATATATTATTACAAGCAACTTTTGTTACATATTTTATATTTCATTTCTACTTGATGGTGAAATGGTCCACGACAAATTAGCTGCAGATGGATTGTCCTGTCGGCAAAAGAGCCGACATGGAAACTGCTACAGTAAAAAGCCGAAGGTCTCCCACTAACCTCAAGAGGACTTTTGGCTAACTATGTATTTTAAGTGCCCCCTGCTACACAGACATTATGTGCTTTCAAACATCCATGTCTTGTCTTCAGTTTAAACCTAGGTCCATTGGTATGGTGGTCGGCATCATAAACCACTTTACTGGTTGTGCAGCACAAGTCCTTTTTATGAGGAAGCTTTCCCAAAGCATTATGTCAATCACTAGATAGAATCTGGTACTTCTGATTCAGTCTTCAAAATGGTACCTATCAGATGGCCTGCATATTACTGATTTGAAGCAGTTTAAACATGGGTTCATCTGTAATTGAAGTGCATGTGTCATATATGAAGCAACTAATTTGATCATTTTTTACCTTGCTTTGTCCTTTCTTTTTGCTAATTTATGGAAAGACTGTCCTTTCTCATTGGCCCATAAAATCCAATATCACAAACATGTTTCTCGATTAAGGGCATAAAGTTATATCTAGAACAGGTATGCAGGTATTTTAGATTAGCCACCTCTAGAAAAGCATTCTTCATTGTACCTCGAACTTAATAAAAGTGCTTTGGATTGAGAAATAGCATTTCATTTTGAACACTTTGGCAATGTGTTTTGATTTAAGCCAAACCTTTGGCATCTGAGTGTTTTCCTGATATCTGTGGAGAATTACTTGACACTGAGAGTAATGTATAAGAAGTTACTAAGCAGTGGCTTTGGCATGTACACTTAGGTTGTAATACTGAAAAGACACATTTGTTACATTACACATTCATTCCTTATTTAAAGTATAATAGAAAGTTTGTTAGGGCTGAGTATAGATTAGATACCATTCAATAATTTTAATTTATGTTGAATCACATGTTTATAGGGTTAATTTTGCTTACAAAAAGTAAAAAAGATATATTTTTTGCAATAAAATTTTTCTTTTTCTTTTTTCTTTTTTTTTTTTTTTTTTTTTTAAGGGTTTGAAAATGTTATTGAATTGTTTGGTTTCCCTGTTGAATTTAATACTCAAGATTTAATGTCAGCATTTTCCATGTTTCAGTAAGTAAATTTTCATCTTTAGTTTAAGTTCACAGAATTTATTCAGGTGTAAAATTGATATTATTTCTAAGCTAGCTAAATACTTATGACATTGACATTGTACTGATGTTGGGCAGGATCATATTTTCAGCTCTTGAGTAGTTTTGAGAGGGGGTATCATTGTCTTAACTAAACGATGAGTGAAGCCACAATTCTCCCATGTCTACATGTAATCTTACTAGATTTTAAACTGATCTAAAATCGAGAAACTTTGGAAATCAGAATCGCAGATGCCATGATGATTTCAGATCTCTGACTCTGTACTGTGTACATTTTTTTCAGCGTTTCATTTTGAAAGCTCATTTCCTTAATTTTATAATGAAATATATTTCTTTCTGAAAAGACACATTTGTTACATTACACATTCATTCCTTATTTAAAGTATGTCTCACTTAATAGAAAGTTTGTTAGGGCTGAGTATTTGTTGCCCTGTTGAATTTAATACTCAAGATTTAATGCCAGCATTTTCCATGTTTCAGTAAGTAAATTTTCATCTTTGGTTTAAGTTCACATAATTTATTCAGGTGTAAAATTGATATTATTTCTAAGCTAGCTAAATACTTATGATATTGACATTGTACTGATGTTGGGCAGGATCATATTTTCAGCCCTTGAGTAGTTTTGAAAGGGGGTATCATTGTCTTAACTAAACAATGAGTGAAGCCACAGTGCTCCCATGTCTACATGTAATCTTACTAGATTTTAAACTGATCTAAAATCGAGAAACTTTGGAAATCAGAATCGCAGATGCCATGATGATTTCAGATCTCTGACTCTGTACTGTGTACATTTTTTTCAGCATTTCATTTTGAAAGCTCATTTCCTTAATTTTATAATGAAATATATTTCTTTATGGTTCTAATAATATCCAGAATTGTATCTTATAAAGATTTAAAATTTTCACAGGTTATGAAGCAGACTTGCTCTTCATTCTCTTTTAAAACTAGAATGATTAAAAAATAATACTAATTAGGGAACTTTCTAGAATTAGTTTTTAAACTAGCCATTTGTGCAGTGAGCCATCAAACTGGCATGTGCAACTTATTAGACAATTTGCATGCCAAATGTGGTAATTTATCTAAGAAAAAGTTCAAGAATGCATTGTTGTTAGCACTCTAAAGGCACAAGAACTTAAAATTCAAGATCTGGGTAGCCCAAAGTTGAATGAGGGGGGAAAACATAGAATTACATTTTTTTAAATATGTATAGAGGGAAATACAGAGAATGCAAGTACACCATCCAAGATATGTAAAATGAATGAAAAAAAAGTAGGAATTTATATATATATGTATGATGTATATTGAGGGAAATATAGAGAATGCAAGTATACCATCCAAGATAGTGTAAAATGAATGAATTTTTGAATCACAGATTATATGCATAAATTTTAATGTAAATTTAGAAATAATATATTTTGTAAATAAAAGTTGAAAGTAAAAGCTCTGGCTCTTACTCATTGTTGGAAAACAGTTTTTCAATTGAATAATTTGATTAAGAATGTGTAATTCAGACAAAATAGGAAGAAAATAAATAAATAGCATTTTATATAAAAAAAAAACTTTTATTTAAAATTCATAAAAAACGTATTAAACTGAAAAGAGCAAAATTATCATGTAATTTAATTTGAACAAGAGGTTAAATCTCTTTACAAAATTCATCTAGAATCACAAATAATTATAGTATGGTCACTCAAGTAATGAAATCTAATAATCAAATTGCATCTTCAAACGTATAAGCCATTATGTTAATAAATTAATCAAGGATGTCTCCCTTTTGTTTTACATGCAATATAAAATTGTAAATGAATTTAGTAAAGAGAATTATTTAGTCTCATGTTACTATTTAACTCTAGGATAAATTTTCTCCTGATATTTACTTGTTTTGATTTGTACTTGATTTACATGTTTTGAGTTTTAAATAAAAGTTTATTTTATTAAAAAAAAATGAAATGAGGAGAATTAATTTTCATTTGGAGTCTGTAGGATGATAAATTTAAAGGATAATAAGTATAAAATAAAAGTATAAACTCTAATGATAAATTTCAAAGAATTTTAATATTACTTCTTTATTTTTCTAGAAAGACAAGTTATACTATTAAGTGGGTAGATGACTGCCATGCACTTGCAGTATTTTCAAGTCCTTCGTTGGGTAATAAACTAATTTGTAATTTTTTTAACTAATTATGAGAAACTTTTAGTTGTTAGAAGGGTACAAACTGTAATTATTATAAAGTTTGATTACATATGTAAATGTGTGAATTTTTATATTTATGTTAAAATGTGCAACTACTGTTGACAGTGTATATAATATGTTTTTAATTCATATGCTAACATATTGCAGTTAAATCCCAGAGTAAACTTTCCCGTTTAAAATATTTATTTCCTATTCAGAAGTTCAAAATATAACATTTCCTTAGAATATCCACTAAAGAATATGAAATATAGTTAAATTCTGTTACAGGGAATTTGACTTATAATGAGCAAACATTTTGGTCCTAGCCAATATATACTTATTTTATAGATTTACAGCAAGCCTCCAGTTGTGTGAAAATCTGATATTATAAGCATTACAATATGTTCAGCTGAAGTTCTTTGTTATTATTTTTTATTTATTTCTTTTTCAGAATTTGTGCAAATTTTAATTAACAAAGTACTAAGCCTTAAAATCATCTATGGAACATAGCTTTACATAACTATTATTTTAGCTTTGCTTTCATTTTTCTCTGTGTTCTAAACTAAGGTTAAGCTAGGCAGGTGTAACACACAGTTCTTAGAGAACCAGGGCACACAGGAAGTGTATCTTATGACACCATATAGCATACATGACCATTGGGTCAATACATTTGAATAGGTTTTCTGACTCCATTTAAATTCTTAAGCTGTCAGGTAGAGCTTTGTTCAAGACTGATGCCATAATGGAAATTTTGAAATTTCACTGTTCCACAAAGAATTAGTGATTTTGTGGGCTTGGGGGCTATGTAATTTGTGTATTAGGGAATAGAATTTTTTTTATTTTTATCAGTTTATTTTGTTTCAGTATTGTAAGTGCCATCTGAGTTTATTCTTTAGATTTTTGCAAGATTCATGATGCTTGTAATAAGGTATTTTAAGTTTGCTTTCCATATCTTCGGGAAAATGTGTACTCTCTTTATACATTGGATAAGTCATTAGTGGGAAAATTATTTCTTTTTTTTAATCCTTTCCAGAAGAGCAGAACTTACATATTCTTTGATCTGTCTTCACTCTACACTGGTGAAACTTTCCTGTCTAAAAGATTCTTTCATTTAGTGAGCTGTAAATATAAAGTAAGTGTTTGCATGAAAGATAAGGTGAACATTAAAAAAAAAGTAATAATGGATGAAGCCAAATCAATAGCTGCCAGGAATACAATATACACAAATGTGCAGTTGGTATCATATGGAGAAATCAAGAATGAATAATTTTTGCTTATGGCAAAAATTTGGAAATTTGTTTCTATATGGTGATTTAGCAAACAGTGAAGAAGATTATGAAAATGATGTTTTGCCTGTTGTTAAGTGGCTAGAAAAAATAGTATTTCACTGCCTGCAATTTTTTTAACATGCAAATGATGTGTTACACATGAAGTAAAATGAGAAATGCTGATGTCAAAAATTTGTCTTTTGGAACTGGTAAAAAATGATTAACACACTGACTGCCACAGCACTTTTCGGATTCCAGTCCAAGAAGCCAAATTGATTTAATCATATATTATTAAAAATACTAATTATGATTCATGTTAGAAAGTCATTAAAGTAAATAACAATCATTAAAAAGTTTACAGATATTTTTTTTTTTTTTTTGGTAGAAAAAAAGGGTCCTACAAGTCATCTCGTAGTCTGCTTTTGTTAGACAAAGCTCTTTGCAGAAGCAAGTAAGTAACTCATAGCGCCGCAAAAGTGGCAGGTCAAGAAACTATGAGATAACTCGTATTGGGCGTCCTGAAGAAGAGCGCTAATACGAGTTATCTCATGTTGGGCAGTCAACTTGTTATAAAAAAGTAACATGCAAAAATTATACTTCCTGTCGCAGCAAGTGCTGAAGTTGAGATGCATGTCTTTAATAAGGTTTTAATAATTCAAAATGATGGAGTCAAGTTTTTTAGTGAAAATATGGATAAAATTTCCCTGCAATCTTCATCACATCAGCTGAAAATTATGAATTATTTTTGTACTCAGAAATACTGCAAAAGATAGATTCAGCCTTTTTTTAATTATTCATTTTTAGGTTTTCATATTTTTATAAATAAAATGGTTATTCATAATTATAAATGTAAATGTGTAACTAGGAGTTAGGGTAGTAGCATGACTTTTCTGTTAAACACTTAATCATTTAAAATTAACATATGGTGAAACATAAATTAATGAGCAAGAAATATAATGATTACACATAATAATCATAATATATTTTATGTCAGGATCATAAATAGTGCTCTACTCTAAATCAGGCATTATAAAGTGAATGTAAGTCACACTAGGGTTCTTTGGAAGTAGCCTCACAGTGCAACATCAAAACTCCATGTATGCGTTAGAACCACCTGGTTTTTTTTGTATTTCAAGGTTGGCAGATCTGCAGTCTGGAACAGAATTCTAAAAGGACAGAGAAATTGAAACAATTTAAACAGATGCACAACACCAAAATCAGAATTTTGATACATGAATGTATACATTGCTTATGTTTAGAGAAATGGTGACCTAGAATGGACCAATGGATTCCATATTTTAAGGTAGAAGCAGTGTTTCTAGATATAAAGTAAAAGGCTATTGAAAGTTGTAAAACAAAAAGTAAGCGTAAAGTTGACACATAGGTCTTCCAAAATAAAAATCAAAGCTTGGCAAAGGAAACATTTGCAGGCTACTGTAAGTGTATTATGTGAAGAGCGATTATTAATATTTTTGTCTTCGGACCATAAAATATTTGGCTATCTTAATAGTTCCATTTTACCATAATTCCAAGTTCCTGACAGTTCTGTAGCAAAAAATTCCTTTAATTCATGTTTTGCATTCAATGTTTAGTTATTTCTTTAAAGACATTTTGTGAAAGTTTGTCAATCAAACCAGCCTTTGTATTGTCTTTTGATTCATTGTATCATGTGAGTTAAGAGTAAAAGGGGGGAGGGAATCAAAGAAACAAACAAAAAGAAAAGTTAATTTGTTAATAGAGGCTTGAAATTTTATTTACATGTTAGAAGTTATTTCTGTCAAATATGTGTTTACATACTATGTAAATTTCCAATGAAGGGTGAAGAAATTTTGCATGTGTATATTGCAAATGTTTCTAATCTAGCAAATGCATTGTTTTACGACGTAAGATATTTTTAGGTTTATATCATGTAGTTTTCAAAGAGATTAATATTGTAACAGAAAAATTGTTATAGAAAACTTGGACAACAAAGCATAGAATCTACAAAAATTGATACTCCATGTAATCTGTTTGGAGGACTGGAAAGTGCTCGTAGAATTAAAAGTATACTAAAGAGTCATTAGATTTATTTTAAAGCAGGAAGCACAAAAAATCAACAATGACTTTGCCAGGATTTGAACTCAGTTGTGCTGGCCGCTGTACTGACTTGCCTATATGCCGGGAAAAAATTCTGTCTTGAAACTTTTCGGACAGATGGTGCAACAGGACATGGAAATAATTATGTCATCTGTAATGCCACTAAGAAACTGTAAAAGAGATGAGGGGAGTTTTTTTTTTTCTTTCTGAGAATGATGCTTTCCCAGTGAAGAGTCTCCCCGCCACGTCAGCGCTAGTTAGAACTTCATTCGATCACTTGCTATCATCGTTGTTGGTAATTGCAATGTTCATAGATTTTAATTCATCTATCCAAGGTCCATTTCTTGCTTATGGAAGAGTATCACACGCCATCTTGGTCAAGAAGATCAAAAATGCAGAATGACTTCTAGCTTAGTTTTATATATATTATATAGTTTTTCAGTGATTCCAACTCCTCTGAAGAGTGAATGTAATTTTAGAATAGATGCAGCTCTCTTTCTGCTATATAATTTTTGAGATCCAGAGTCAAATAATGACCTAATGCATAAAGAAAAAACTTTTCCAATCAAATATACTTTAAAGTCTGCAATAGAACTTAGGTGAATTAGGAAAATTAGCCAGATTAATTGACTTACCTTCTCTGTTTTTATCCTCTTTATTGGAGATAGATTTTACTACTGTTGTTTTATTATTAGGCAGTTCAGAACACATCATTGCACTGTGAGTCATGTTACAAGCAGCACATCTCACAAAATTTTGACATTTGTCCGAATGATTTCCTACTCTTAAATCATTTGAAGCACTATCCCTTTTTTACTTAAAATCTGTTTATCTACTAACATCATTTTTTGTGCTTTGAAACAGCTTAAACAGTCATGTTTACCATTACAAAAAATACAGAGCTTTTTGCATGAATTTGTAATCAACAAACTAGTAGCCATATGGAATTTTTCATGAGGTTTCTTACAGTTTTCCCCTTTAATTTAAATTTCATCCCTAAGTTGTCAGCTATGACTAAATGTAACTACTCTTCACCCTCAAATTCAGATTTCAAGAATTTTGGTAAAATAGTAAACCAATCTTTTGGATGGCTGCAATGGTCAATATTTGGGCTCCTTTGCCGAGCTTTAAGAAAATCTCCAAGCATGCACAGTTCAACTAAGGGATAAAGCAAAACAGCACTAAAGCATCCTGACCAAAATGAAATTTTTAAACTCTTCACAGCTTTTGGGTAATTTTCTCTCATCAGAGGGAAACTTTCAATAACTTAGAACCGAGAACTTTCAGCCGTACTTTGCAATAAATATTAAAATTTATCTGAGTTACTGGATCTTTATTATTTTTTTGAATTCACTCCAGAATTACAATTGTTCTTTAACATCTCTGCCAAATTTACGCAATTCCAATTTTGATGATTTGAATTTTCTACTGCTTGAATTGCAAACAGTGCCAGCATGATTATTGTCATTATAGCATGATTATTATTAAGTGAATGGAAGTAACATCATCCATATCCTTATGTGCTTTTCACTATTTATTTGCTTAACGTATAATTTAATTCTTAAATCCTTTTTATGAAAATCTTCAACAATTTCATGCTTTTTTTCAAATTCCCTTTCTATTTTACACAGCTAATATACCTAAGTGAGTTCGTCTCAAATATTCTTCTCTTAAAGTAAAAAAAAAAAAAAATTAATCCAGTTTCAAGCACATAAATATCTATATCATATTCAATAGTAAAAGCAGAACACTGAGCTGTAGGAGCATTCAAAAGACAACCCATCTCTGAATACAAAAACTTAATTCGGCTGACCTTCACAATTCTTTGGATTTCTAATTATTCACACTGTCCCGCTGAGGATACCATTAAAAATTATGTTAACATGGAATAAAATATGTTACCAGCTGTTGTGTGATTTGAGAAAGTAAACATTTAATGTATTTAATCCAAAGGAAAACTTTTCCAAAGGAACCAAAAGGAAATATTTTCACAACATAAACTAAAGGAAAATTTAAGCACATTGTGTCTCACAGACTCTGTGATAAACCACTAGAAAAAGAAAATAATTAAAACATGGAGTTAGTTAAAACTTTAGATGTAAGACTTTCAACAGTACTTAAATTAATATGTGCATGTGTTTAAGTGCAACAGTGCTAATCTATATGGACCGTACACAAAACTCAACGTTTGATATTTTGTTGACATACTGCTGGTGCATTCACCAGGTCTTTCGTTGATTGGACATATCTGTCTACAGTGTCACAGACAGCAAATAACAGCAGCAGTTTTAGTTGGTGAACTCAGGCATTGAATTACAGCTGTCTGGATATGTAAAAATAAGGATTTATCCAGTTAAAGTTTTAAAATGGTATAAACATATTTAATTGCATTTTTATATGCACTATGTAATGAAGTATCAGCAGTCAAAATAAATATTGTAATTCCTATGACTACAACATTATAAAAAAATGTAACCTTAATTTGGAATTTTAACATCTTTGATAATATTACTTAAATGAGGCTGTTGTGATTCAGTTCCATGAAGTAATATTTTGGTTCATATAATTTTATTCAAAGAAGCATTATTAATTTAAAGTGTAAAATGTATATTATAAAATTTTGGAGTGTATTGTTAATTTTCAATTTAGAGGTGTAAGGTATTCATATGTTATGAAGATTATTTTATATTGTAGTTTTTGTATTCCTTGCAGTCATATGTTAAAATGGTGCCTTAATTTTTAAAGCTAATCAAGCCCTACAGTTGAATCATCCATTTGTGAAAGTCCGTCCACTTTCTGAGGGTACAAGTGAATCTAAAACAAAAGCTAGACTGTGTGCCCGTAAGTTTTAAATTATTTATGCAAGATGTAAAATTTTCTTGAAAAAATAATTCAAATGTGTAGCATAATAAAAATAATTCAAATGTTCCTTGTTCAATTGCTAATGAAACATTGTGAAGTTCCTTCTTAAAGTGAGGTTTTGTGTGAAAATACTTTGTTTATATTGTTTTCCCATAGACCTGATTTGAATTAAAATGACCTTGGGTATTACTTAATTTTCTTTTTGCATTTGTACTTGTTTACATATCATATATATAGCTTTAGTTCATCATATCGTATAGCTTTCAGTTTTCTTGTTTGTAATCTAAAATTAGTGAAAAGTGAGTTAAAACTATGCCAGTTTTATGTTGAAAGAAAATTACTTTTGCATAGTTTTGTGCTTGAAGAAATATAGTTCTGCACATTAAACGTCTTTAGGTAGAATAGTTTTTTTCTTCCTTTAGTTTAGTATGCTGTTTGCATTTAAGTTTACATTTAGGGGTTGTTGATAAAAAAAAATTAAATTATGAAATTTGTGTGCTCATAATTTAGCTGTTGTCTAATAAAACTTTAGTAGATTGTAATTATTTTGTTTCTAGTAAAGATGCTCTACTAAAAGTCATCAAATCTACCTGTACAAAAATAAAAAAGAGGTGTTTTCCATATTTTAATTGGATACATTAACTTACATTAGAAATAGCTTATGTCTTATAAGACTTATTTCTTACAAGGTAAGGGCTAGTATTTGTCACTTGTGAAATAGATTTGCAAATATCTTTGATTTACCAAGAATTAAAATCTGAAATGTAGTCATAAAATGTAGCACAAGAGTTTCTTTTGTATGGTGCTACTAAAATGGTAGTTTACAAATCACCTATGCTTGTTAGTGTTTTCTCTTCCCTCTGGTTTGAAAGCTGAATCTTACAAGCTATGGACTAATAAAAGCTTTATCTGCCTCAAATATTTTACAAATATGTGAAGCTGTTTAGAGTTTATAACTTGCCTTGTTATTAGGTGTATGTCATTAAATGTTAGTTAAAATAAAGTGTAAAAATGAAATGAATTTCATATTTTATTTCAGTAGATAGCCATCATTGTAAAGCTAGAACTAGGACAACAAAATAGTGTAAAATTAGGATCAGATCTTTGGAATCTTGATAAATGAATTTGTGCCCATTTCTTTGTTTACCATTAGCTATACCAAATTCAAGTAAATTGCAGCAATATTGCTACTAGTGAAAGGCATAGATTCCTTAGTCTTTGCTTTGTAAGTGCACTTTGATCATTTGAGGTATCATGCATTCCTACAGGACCCAAGATCAGGCCTCGACACTGATAGAGCAGCAAAAATTATTGACCTTTGCTTGTGCTGTCTGTCGCAAATATCAGCATTAACAAGTTCAAAAGAGCATCCTTTACCAATAATTTGTCTATATATAAAACCCAAGATGGTGCCACTATACTAACAAAGTTGCACGACAACAATTCCTGTGTACTGGTTTCCCACATGTGATTGTCTGTTCTCCTTCTGCCCCTCCTGTTCAAAGAAAACCTGAGGCTCCAACTGCACCCACAAGCTCACTGGGCTTATGCTACAGTGCTCTGTTTAGGAAATATGCCTAACAAAGGAAAGCAGTTCGAGGAGCTTTTTAAAGTGAACACATTTTTCATCCTGAAAGATATGGAAATAACTCAGAAACCTGAAATCAAGTTTCTGAGTTATTACCTGAAAATTCTTCCATATCTTTCAGGATGAACATTTTTCATCCTGAAAGATATGGAAGTAGTATTTTTCTCTAGACATAAGACACTAATGTAATGTAATGTAGGTAATAACTTATTTAGAATCATGGTCTTTTGTTGCTGTCTTCATGTGTTCCAGGGCCTCTTATTAATGCATGAAATCTGTGTTAACTGATATTATTGTAGTTTCTTTCGGAAAATGTTTTCATACACTATTTAATCTCATGATTTTTTTTATGAAGCTTATGAGCTGCCATGCCGCTTTTAAATCCTAATGTGAGCTGCCAAAAGAACTAGCAACTTCTTTTTAGAAAAATGTTATATTTTTATTGCTTATAAACTTACATTTCAAGTAAATATGAAATTAATTTTAATTAAACTGTATATAACAAAAAGAAATTGAATTGTAAATAAGAGTTGAAGTGTGGTTAGTAATAAATAACAAATGTAATAACAGACTTTTTTTTAATCAGACTAATTAACATTAATGAGGAGAATGGAGTTCTTTTTTTTTTTTTTTCTCATCATCAAGTTTTTTAATGTTGTGAGAGTAGGTAGTGGCTGCCATTCAAATATTATTGTCCAAGTATTCATCAATGAGTGTTTCTGTGCTTATTTTCAATAAAATTTCATGCTGGAAAATGAAGTCTCACTCAGCTATATGCAGCTGAACATTGCCTTCACTTTGAGATAAACCTGGACCAAATTTGGGTAGTTTTCTTAAGAAATAAGAGGCCAAATATTTTCATAGCTTGAAGAAAGCGATTTTACAGATAAATCATTTTGAAAATCAATCAGTTCCAACTCCACTGCAGCAGTGTCTTTTTGTCAGCATCAACTCCTTGTAGGAGTCAAGGTTAGGCAACTGAAGATGTCCCCGAACCAAAGATAGATTACGCAATCTACCAAAGATGTCCATGCAAGCTACTAGTAGCTCGCGATCGATGGTTTGGCGATCACTGGTCTAGAATAATGCATCTTTATCAGTTAACTGTCATCAAATTGCTTTAATGTTATCAGGGGTCTCAAAAGTGTCAGAATTAATCCTTTGTTGTTTGCAGCACCAAGCTTGCTGTCAGAAAATTTTCCTGATTTTAAAAACTGGAAAAGGTATTAGATTAAGCTAAGTCATTTGTATTTTTCTTGTTTTACTTTTGGTGTATTTCCCAAATTGTTTTTTGTAATACTGTTTGGTGACTCCAAATCTAAAAGTGCTCTTTTAAGAAAGTATATATTAAAATAGCAGCAAACGATTTCAAACTATATAAAAATAAGCATAGAATTATAAATACATCTTTTCGTAATACAGATAAAATAAGTTCTCTGTTTTCATATGAATGTATCTTTATATTGTTGTAAGCAGTGCACTGAACTGCAGGAAATATTACCTGCATAAAGCCTAAATATAGTGCTATCCATTAAAATAAAACATGAGAAAATGTCCATTTAGAGAAAGATTTGATATATGCAGAGAGGCCTGCAAGTATTTTTAGAAAATTCTGAGTCTGCTACTGAGCTTGAGAAATTTGATGTATGTATATTGACAGGGTTCATAGCGGTCCTTACTAGTGCTTGTAAGTCTCTATATTTGAAAATAAAATATAAAAGCCCTTATAAGTGCTTACTTTTTCTGTAAAGCATTCATTTTTTTAGTGCTTATTTTTTGCTTTTAGTGCTTTTTTTTTTTTTTTTTTTTTTTTTTTTTTTAGCGAATGTACATTTTCCCCCCATACCATTGCCGAAACTAAATAAACAACTTTTCTTCCTTATATGGAACGTCAGATTGTGAATCATACTCCCAGAAATAACTTTTTGCCCCTTTCTCTGCATTAACATAATCTTTGGTGCGCACAAGTACAGACAGGTGCCTGTCGTTCTATTGGTCAAAGAATTGCAAAAGTGGTAGAAAATTCTAGTACATTCTGTATTCTTTTTGCTCCCACCCAATATTACACACGTTTGAATGTTATCAAAATTTTATTAATTTATTTTCTCATTCCGAGTGGTCACTTCATATTCGCGATTATTATGATCATTATGCTTATATTATGGAACATATGTATGAATATTTATAATAATATATTTGCAGTAATTGCTGAAGTGTAGATAAACTTCAAAAATGGTAAGTGTGTTTTAACACAGATTAGTTTTGTGAGGAATAATATTCGGAATGGCATAAATAAAGTAATCGAATAGTCAAAATAATTTCTTTTTTTCTTTTCTTTTTCCTTCTTTCTTTCCCCCCCTGCCCAATGCATTATACAGTACAGAAGTTGGGGGTTCTCCGCTTCTCTGCAAAATCTCTAATCTCGGGGTCACTTTCCAACCTAGATTGAATAGGACTAAAAGTTCTGCAATCTACCAACCCAAGTGAAGAATGATTCTATTCCAGAAATTTAATGCAGTCTATTCAAAATTAGAATGGAAAACACCCCAGATTGGTAAATCTCTTTATTAATTAATATGAGTATGGCAGGGATATTGTGCGGAGCGTGGCATGTCCTGCTCAGTGATAAATATGCTACATGGGCGCGTGACGGTGAAAACTGGACGAAGCAAAGAGGCGTTTTACTTTATTTAGTTATTTATTCTCCGAATACCTGCAGATGTTGATTCCAATTGCGTAATATCACGTGCGGAAGAATTAAGGCACACATATTGTGCAATAGCGTTTGCGATATTTCCCAGAGATAAAAGAGTTTCACTGTGCTTGCTAAGCAGATTATCTTTCAGTTCCATTTGGCTATTTTTTTATACGATGCACATATTGAAATGTCAAAAGCTTTATTTAGCTGAAAAATCTAAAGAATGACTACAATCTACCCCCCCCTTCCTCTTTTACCACTTACGCGCGACTCTCTGGAATTTTCCGAGTATGCTTTTACTGTTAAAGAATGACTGCATGAAGTAATTTTCCGGCTACTGATTTCAGAAAAGTTCCTTTTTTTTTTACTTAAATTACTTTGCTTGCAATATCTGTTAAGGGAAAACTGTTATACAATGAAAAATTAATGTTCAGAATTTTGATTAAAGTTAAATTATTTAAATATTAATATGAGTGGAAAAATAAATTGTATTTATTTTTAGGTCCTAAGCGAATATAATAAATATGGCATATTATTATTTATTTTCTCTATTTTGAACTGAAATTTTAGTCATTAAATCTTGTAATATAGTTTAGTTCTGCATAGTTTCCCTCCCTCTCATTGTAAACTAGTTCTGTAAATTGAACTATTATTTAAAATTTAAAAAAAAAAAAAAAGAAGAAGAAGAATGCATTTGTTTTCCATGGTTGAGTAATGCTCATTCTCTCTTAATAAATACTGAATTTTTTGTATTTTAAATTACAAGTCTAATTTTTCTTTTAAGGTTATGCAGTTGTGTATAATGTAATTAGACAGGTGCTCATTTTTTTCCCTTAAAATGTGCTTGAAAAGTGCTTATAGGTGCTTATTTTTTTAACTAAAATGTGGCTATGAACCCTGATTGAGATTTAATAAAATTTTTAAAAAATCAGTTATTGAATCTTAATGTAATTTTTTTGTGTTTGAATTGATTGTAAATAACTTTAAATGAATATATTAGTTGATTCCTCAACTTCACTATTAAAAATTTGCTAAGAAATCACACAAAAATGTGCATTAAATTGAAGTACAGTAGATATGCCAAAGTTTGCTATGAAATTACTCATGAAATATTCTTTAGGTATCCTTGAGCCTCCTAAGCCACGGCCAGTCACCTCAGCAGCATTAGCTAGACGTCTGGTATCAGGTGCCTTAGGTTTAAAAGTTCAAACATCTAAGGAGCAAAGGGATGTTGAAAAAAAGTTGTTAACAGAAGCAAGAGGTGAATACTTTTCTCTGTTGCTATTAATTCCTCAAAACGTTTTACCACCAAATTAGTTAATGAAGGCATATCATATTTCTAATTTTATTTTAAGCAGTGTCTTTTATCTTGCTTTCGTTAAAAACTCTTCTAACCATAAACAAGAATTGCTGGTTAAAAATTGAATAATAATAATAAAAGATGCATGTTTGGGGTTATCATATTAAGTGTATAATGTACATTTTGTATTGAATTAAAATTTATAGGTTGAAAAATTTTATGTTCAAGTATGTTTGTGGAATAAATGTTGAGTGGCAACAAAATTGTGTTGAATGAACACATGGGCAGGGCTAAAAGCAATTATTTTAATTCATAGAGATGCCATAAAAGAGCTTCCAAGTAAATTCAGAAACAAAATAAGTGTAATTTGAAAAAACAGAACTTGGTGATCAAGATAATTTTTTTTAATGTTTAGAACAACAGTAGGGAGAGAGGGTATCTTTTATTATGTTGGATGATATTACCTGAATTCCAAATTATCTGAAGAATCTAAATTCTTATTAATTGTGCATGATATTCAAGATTTCCTTTATTCTGTAAAATTCCATTGACTTCTTAACTGTTCAAGTTGAATATAATTTTTGGTACCAAAGTTTCTGTCTGTTTTAAAAATTAATCAACTGTTCTTAAAGTATGTTAGATTGTTGTCATATGCCACAAATGTGTGTTATCACTGATAAGTAATCTTGATGTCTGTGCAGTATTCTTAATCATTGGATGGTTCTGTGAGTTAGTTTTATTTTTTGATTCTCTGTTGATTTTCAATGCTGTGTAATACATTTATTAAAATTTTCATTCTAACTGCACTATTATGTAACTTGTTACTGCTGCCATTGAATTCCATAAGGATTCTTATTGTTTCCCCTTTCTTCAAATGCTGTACAATGTGTTTTTGGAGTAAAATTATGTCATTTAAAATAATAGGTCTCTTTTATTTTTATGTATTTATTTATTTTCAATTTTCTCTATAAAACACATGTATATTCATGTTTAAAAATGTGGAGAATTCTTTTGATAAAATTTATGATCTTTTAAAAAGAGAGTTGAAGAAGTTATCTTTTTCTAAAATGGGTTTAGAACACATTATCTATTGCAAGATGCATCAAAAAATTGTATGCTAAAATGTTTTGGTAGGATAAAAAACATATTCTCTAGTACAGAATTCGTATTGCTAGTTTTCTTAATTACAAACATTAAATTCTTTTCATATTTAAGAGCTATTGTAAAATTTTCTTTTCAAACGCATAATAATATATATAAATATATAATAAAATAAAACTCGGAAGCAATGACCAGCAGGAATTTTGATGGCGTAGAAGTGTTGATCCATAATGAATAGGAAATTGGAGACGAGAGCAAATTAAATCTTCATATTTTATTTCAGCAAACATGTTGCAGCCACAATCAAGTTAGCACATTAATTGTGCCTATTCCAAAAATTTTACATTTTAGATAAATTTGATGTAAGAAAGAAGGAGCAGACAGACTGCAGTCCAGCTAGGGGAAAGCGTAGAAAGCAAGTGCGTTATGTTCAGGGTGAAATCTTAATTCAGACTGAGTTAGTTTTAGTTCTCAATGCATTTTGATTGGGTAGTTAATACTTCTGTAAAATTATTATTGGCTGCTTGAATTTTAGTTCCATTTACATCATCAGAATTACATAAGAATCATATGACATAAATTAGTCTCGAAAAGCCACAGTGCAAATAGAGGTTACTATTTTTAGAATAGAGAAGGGAAATTGATTTAATAATTTTAATCTTTATTTAAACTTTATGTATTCTTTATTTTTCTTGCATATATATTTCTGTAAAAATTCTCAAACTTTATATTATTATTACATTAATACTTCAGAAAATCTTTTTATTGAACTAATTCCAAATGTTGAATTTACCAGTAGATTAAAATTTAATTGGTATGGATCTTTTGCATTTATTGCACAGATTGTGTTCAGACATATATTCTACTTGAAAATGTTTTGCTTTATTTTCAGAGAGAAAAAGGTTAGAAGCAAAACAAAGACAAGATATTTGGGATGGTATAGTGTCATGAAATGAAAGAATTACATTATTGTATAGATATGCAATTTATATGTTATTACTAGTGCAACTTAAAAATGTGACTGTTCATACTGGTTTTGAACTTGGCATAAATTTATTTTTACAAAAAATTAAATATGTATCAATTATATGGTTACCTGAATTTGTAATCTTGCAAGTTGATTTTTAACATTTTATTTATTAAAATGATGCCAATTTATGGAATTTATCAGTTTTATATAATATTGTATGAAAAGTTTATCATGTATGTATAAAATGTATTTTAAATGATTATATATTGAAAGGATATTTCAATGTTAGATTATTGCTTATGAAATGGCTGTTTTTAGCTTCTTCTTGAAGTTTGAGAAGTTCTAATGTGAATTTTTGCACTATGTCTCTTTTCGTTTTCGAGTTGAAGTTTGTGTTTTGAACTTAAATCCTTGAATGGTTTATAATGCTCTCTGAAATTAAAGTAACAATAACTACATAAATTTTAATACAGGGTGAATGTTTCTTCTTTATCCTTCTAAAAACTAAAGCATGAAGCAATGATAGCTTTAAATGTTTTTAATTAAAATATAAATTTACAGGCTGTATGTAAAAAAAAAAAAAAAAAAAAAAAGGTACATGTTCTTACATTAGTTTATTATTTCCACATGCAGTTACCATTTAAAGGTAAGCATTTATTTGAATTTTTCATATGAAAAGATGTCATGCATGCTGACTTCATATGGGGAGAAAATATTGGAATTATTTTCATGTGAAAATGTGTGGTTTGAATCAATTTGTATAGCTTGTTTATGCAGACTGGAACAAATCAGCATATGTTATCCGTAACAGTGCTGTCATGTCAACATATATAGTACAGGTAGGGGGTTCGTAGCGGTCCTTATCAGTGGTCCTTATAATATATAATATTTGGAAATAAAATATAAAGACCCTTATAGGTGCTTACTTTTTCTTTAAAGCCCTTTTTTTTTTAATGAACGCGCAATTTTCCCCATACCAAAGCCGAAACTAAATAAACAACTTTTCTTCGTTATATGGAATGTCAGATGGTGAATCATACTCTCGGAAATAGCTTTTTCCCCTTTCTCTCCATTACCGTAACCTTTGGTGTGTGCGGAGAATACAGACAGGTGCATGTCATTCTATTGGTTAAAGAATTGCGAAAGCGGTAGAAAATTCTGGTACATTCGGTATTATTTTCCTCCCACACAAATACTACACACGTTTGAATTTCTGTCGAGATTTTAATAATTTGCATTGTCGTTCCACGTGGTCAGTTCATATTCGCATTTATTATGATTGTTATGGTTATATTATGAGCATATGTATGAATATTTATAATATAGTTGCAGTAACTGCTGAAGTATAGATAAACTTCCAAAAATGGGTGTTTTAACACAAATTAGCCTTTTAAGGAATAATTATTCGGAATGGTTTAAATAATAAAGGGAAAGTAATCAAATAGTCAAAACAGTTTCTTTTTTTGCCTGTACGTTATACAGTGCGGAGGTTGGGAGATTCTCTCTTTTCTCCGCAAAATCTCAAATATTGAAACCGTTACAGTTTGCTGAAAAACAAGCAACAGACTTTTTTTTTTTTTTTTTTTGTCACTTTCCAATCTGAATTGAATAGGATTAAAAGTTCTGTGGTCTACCAACCCAAGCGAAGAATAAGTCTATTCTGGAAATTTGACGCTGTTCAAAATTAGAATGAAAAATACCCCAGATTGGTAAGTCTCTTTCTTTTCCTTTATTTAGCTCTTTTTTCTCTGAATACTGGCAACTGTTGATTCCGATTGTGGAATATCACATACAGAAGAATTACAGCGCACGTATTGTGCAATAACGCTTGTGATATTTTGCAGACATAGTTAATTTTGATGTTCAGTCCGAGATTTGTTTATGAACACTTAAAAGAGTTTTACTGTGCTTGCTTAGCAGAATATTTTTCAGTTCCGTTGGTCTATTTTTATATGATGCACATATCGAAATGTCAAAAGCATTTATTTAGGCGAAAAATCTAAAGAATGGCTACAATCTACTCCCCCTCCTCTTTTTTTCAGTTACACTCGACTATCCAAATATTCAGCAATTTCCGAGTATGCGGGTTAGTTAAGGTTTTACTGTTAAAGTATGACTGTATGAAGCGATTTCCCGTCTTATGATTTCAGAAATGTTCCTCTTTTTTACTTAAATTACTTTGCTTGCAGTATCTGTTAAGGTAAAACTGTTATACAATGAAAATTTAGAAAATGTTCAGAATTTTAAGTTAAATTTAAATATTAATATGAGTGGGAAAATAAATTGTATTTATTAGGCGCCAAGCGAATACAATAAATATGCCTTATTATTATTTATTTTCTCTATTTTGAACTGAAATTAAATCTTGTAATATAGTTTAGCTCTGCATAGTTTTCCCCCCTCGTATTGTAAACTAGTTCTGTAAATTGAACTGTTATTTAAAATTAAAAAAAAAAATAATGCATTTGTTTTCCATGGTTGAGTAATGCTCATTCTTTCTTAATAAATACTGCATTTCTCATATTTTAAATTACAAGTCTAATTTTTCTTTTAAGGTTATGCAGTTGTGTATAATGTAATTAGACAGGTGCTTATTTTTTTCTTAAAATGTGCTTGAAAAGTGCTTCTAGGAGCTCATTTTTTTTAACTAAAATGTGGCTACGAACCCTGTCGTAAATTGACATGATACTGGTGTGAAAAACCGGTATTAAGTGTTTTAAGTTCCTAAACTGGACAGTGTGGTTAAGTGTAGGAATAATTGATAATGATCATTCAAGAGCTTAAATAAAGCCAATATTCTACTTTATGTGATGCCAATTAGCCAAAAAAGTAAGCATTATTCAAATTTCCTAACACATGTCATCCACTAGCAACCGAGTGGCAAAGTTGCTGAACACTAGTAGTTTTGACCTTGGTTTGACTGCTAGCTTGATGGGCATTTTTGTGGTTTTCCCCATGTGTAATGTGTATATAAGCCAGTTTCCCTTTGCATGTCCTCCACGAAGGCATCCATCCCCTTAGGCAGAAAGCCCTAGTATGCTTTGCTGTTATCTCAATAAACCATAAACCATCCTAATAAAAGGCAGTCTTTTTAAAACTAAAAAAGATAAGTAAATGATGTCACATGAATTTGGACCTTTATGATGAGTGTTCCGTCAAAGTACATTTATGGTCCTTCTCAGAGCAGAAAGTATTCATTTTCATTCAGTATGATGATAAATTGCTTGGTGATCATTATTTGCATATTGCTAAATAAAGCTGAAATATGCTGAAACAAATTTTTATGTAAAGGCTATAAATAGACATAATTTATTATTAAACACTGTTCTGTACTAGAACTAGATAAAACATTTGAGTTACTTAGTGAATTTTTAACTTGCTAAGTAAATTAAGGAAACTGAGTGTGAAACATTTAAGTATACTTGCAATCTCACTGTAACGTACTGATCCTTTTACCAACTGATTGCCCTTGCTAATTTTTTCAAACATTTCAACATATATTTGCAAAATAAAAGATTAAAAATATGACTGCCTTTTGAAGAAACTGACAGTGCACTTCAATTCAAACTGTAAACTACACTGGTCGTGAAAATGGAGGTAAATGAGAAAAAATATGCTTGCTAAGTTAATGATCAAGAAGCACAGATTGTTTCACGGAGTACCTACTGTTCAAAACTATTACCTCCACATCAGAATATACTAGGTAGAGAGCAGAAATAGAAAAATTACATAAAAATAGTTGAAAAGGGAAAAACTAAAGGGAGCCTTAAGGCTCGAGAAAGATTTGATTAGGAAAAGTCATTGAAATCATAATTTATTTTGTATTTTATAAAAAAAAATTTTGGTATTTTTATAATTTTTTTTATACACAGTACAACACTAAAGCAGGAAGTAAATAGGAAAATGATTAAGGATTAATAGTCTGCATGGTCGGTGACGCTAAATCATAGTGCAATAAAGTTATGGGAACTTGTGGAAATATTCAAGGGAGAAATAAAATCTGCAGGCACGATGTGATTCTTAAGCGAACAGATTGGTAACAGATGAGGCCTCTATTATGATTATCAGTAATAGCTGAGATAAGCTAGCAGTTTTATGGTAGAATGATAGGTTTGGCGTCTATCCTTTAAGGCACGGCTACTGGAACTAAAAAGATGGGAGTGTGTCCTATGCCATTTTTGCAGGTGGAAAGATTCTGTAGTCTCAGCCGGTGATGTCACGAGGTCACTTTTGGGAACTGTTAATAGCTGGGTCATATGCAGGATGTTGTTGTAATGCATGGTTTTCAATCTGTTCAATTTTAAGAAACAAATTTTGACTAAGTTTTTTTATAACTACATCTGTAGGTTTAATGTTGAGGTTCAAAAATCACATTGTTATGGATGTACCAGGCTGCATTAAGGACTTATTTTAAAGGGCTTTAATTTTTTTATATGAGTTTTAGTAGCAGTACTCCATATGATATAGGCATACATAAACATTGGTCTTATATAGGCAGTGTAGAGAAGAGCTTTGTTTTTAACTGATGGATGGCTCTTTTGAGCTAAAAGGTTGTAAGATCTGTCTCTTATTCCACATAAACTAAATTAAATCCTACAATGAACCTGGCGAATTCTCACACAGGCGTGAATAAATTACCAGCACAGAGAAGATGAAAAATAATGCTTTATTTAATTCAAAATGATTAACAGAAAGGCACGCTCTTTGTGCTTTACAATGGCACCATCAACTTGCGGTGAAACTGAAACGTAGAATATAGTTCAAGTTGAAATCTAAAATAAAATAGTGCTGGATTAGCACGTTCACTCGCAAAAACCTAACAGGTGTGATAATAATCCGAAATGGCCAAGAAGCTTACTAGCGTAACAGCGAGATAGCAACGAAACGTGCGCTGACTAGTAAAAACATGCTCTGATATAAAGTCAGAGATTTACCTATTTAAATACTCACTTCACTTAATTTTAAATTTACATCCTGGTGAGAAAATGTGAGGGGAAGTTGAGGCGATGCAAAATAAGTTAAACCCTACAAAGTTAGGTTCTGACATTCTTTGCTGTATTGAGTACAGAGTCAATATGAAGATGCCAGCGTAATTAACAATCAAATACAACTTCTAGGTACTTCTATGATTTAGACCAGGGAACATAGTCGTCATATAATCTAAAGTTAATGGAAAGCTATGGGAGGGAGGCA